TTAACCAAAGTTTGGGAGGACACACAGCAGAACTGGAACTCTGGAGACCTCGGAGTGTGCTAAGTGATGCCTCTTCTTCTGTTTCCCTCTCTGTATTTTCTGATGTTTGTTTAGTTAGCCTCCACTGAGAAGCCAAGAAGCATAACACGGTGAAAAGAATGAACCGTGGAGCTGGGTGGCCTGGACGTGAATCCCGGCAGCTGTACTGACTTAGGTAGGTGACACTGGCCCAGTTCCACTCTCTGCCTGAGTTTCTCCATCTGCCAATCGAGAGTACAGTCCTAGCTATCAGGCAGGGGTGTTGTGAGAATTAGATCATTTAATACCTACAAACTTGTCCTTGTGACAGATTGAAGCCTCCACTGTCTGGATGCCTCTGGTAACAAGCTGTAGGTGATGGATGCATAGAGGAAATGCTCAGATCCCCGACTTCCTGCTCTCAGATGACACCCAGTCTTTGGTCTTCTGTGGCAGCCCTGGGTAGCACACCTCTGGTTACCTGCAAGCCCTTGATGTCCAGGGACATGGGAGATGTTGTGGGATCAGGAAGAGGGGATTGTACCCCAAGGCAGTGCTTACCTGTGAGTCCCAACAGCAGAGCCAGCAGCAGGTAAGGAGGCAGGTGGGGCCCGGAGGCAGGGGCCAACATCATGGCGGCCTGAGGACCCTCTCTCTGTGCAAATATGTGTGCTGGGGAGAATGGGCCTCTGTTCTGGGGCGAAAAAACCCTGCTTCCTTCCGTGATTAAGAGGAAGCACCTCTTAATGGTGGGGTGGGGTGATGGCTGTGAGGCAGCAATCTGCTTCTAGATTGTGAAATAGAAGTCAGGCAGAGAAGGCCTCACTTGGTGAAGGGTCCTCTTTTCTTTTTCAGAGAGAGTGGAGAGGCCCAGGAGAAATGATGCTTCCCTCCTACATGGGGCCTCTGTCCCCATCCAGTGGGCCTCCCTCCCCCCCCATCTTGAGGCCCCAAATTGGGTGTAGAGATTAGTTAGAAAAATTGATAAAATAAAAGAATTTGTATGTGCTCTCCTCCAACCAAAGAAAGAGGAAGTGGGTTATATGTCCCATAAATCACACTCCCAGGCATTTATCTGAGCAGAGAAGACCATGGCCTCACAAAAACCTCACATGAATATTTAAAGCATCTTTCTTTGGCATAGGAAGTAAAGGGAAACATCCAAAATGTCCAGTAATTAGGGAATGCTTGAACAAACTAGTGGATTCATACCAGGAAATACTTCTCAGTGCTAAGAAGGAATAAATTATTTACATGTGCACAACTTGTAAGTTTCCAAAGGCATTATGTTGAGTGAACAAAATCAATCTCAAAACGTCACGTACTGTGGGAATCCACTTACACAACATTGTCAAAGTTGTAGAGAACAGATGGGCATGTGCCAGAGGCTTGGTGTGGTGGGGCAGGTGGGCACTATGAAAGGGTAGCACAAGGCAAACCTTTGTGGCCATGGAGTTGTTCTGTACCCTGAATGTGGTGGTGTTTACACCAAATACACATGAGCGGAAAGACACAAACAAAAGCTGGGGATGTTACAAGATTGAGCTATAAAACACAAGGTCTTTGTCATTATAATCTGCTCAATGACTATGACATTAGCCAAAATTAACGTGGGGGTGCCTGGGTGGCTCAGTCGGTTGAGCGTCCGACTTCGTCTCAGGTCATGATCTCACGGTTTGTGGGTTCGAGCCCCACGTCGGGCTCTGCTGAACAGCTCAGAGCCTGGAGCCTGCTTTGAATTCTGTGTCTCCCTCTCTCTCTGTTCCTCCCCCACTCATGCTCTGTCTCTCTCTCCTTCAAAAATAAATAAAAACACTAAAAATAAAAATAAATTAAGGTAGGTGGCACAGGGTCCAGAAAACAGACCATTGTATCCTCGTCATCCACGGTGGGACATCAGTGAATAATGCCTAAGAGGGAGATGTCTAGAAGTGACAGTGTCAGCATGCTATAAGAGACCTGCCTGTAACTTCTAGAAAAATCAGTTAAAAATAATCAGAAAAGGGTGCAAAATGGTTGCCTTTGGGGTGGAAAACCGTGGAAGGTAGGAGGCTCCAGTTTTCACAGGTAGTGTGTATAGAACCATTTACCTCGTAAGCCGTGTGCGTATGTAACTTTGATGAAGGTAAAAGCTAATCTGGGGTGAGTTGATTGACGTTATAAGAGCTCACATAAGAGAATGTCCATGCTATGAGCACTAGTACGAGTTTGATTAGTTTGCTGGACAGACTATCGACGTTAAAACCCACTTATAATCCTATACAACCTCCCAAACCCAGTGTAAACGGTAATAATAAGTTTTAATTTGTTTAAAATAAATAATTTTTAAAGATGCTATACTAGAAACTGGAAAGTAGTAAAGACAGCCCTAACGAGGGAATTGAGGTATCTCATGTCTGTGAGTTGCAGAGCTCAGTATCGGAAAGATGCCAATTTGCCCAAATGAATATATAAAGACAGTGCAATCAAGCCATATTTGTAAAAGGGTTTGTGATAAAAGTTGACGGCGTGATTCCCAAATGCGTGTGAGCCAAGGAGAGCCGCAGCCGTCCCAAGCGACAGGACCAGGTGGGAAGGTTTGCCCAAAAAGAGGTGTCGAAACGTGTTCTAAAGCCGTCCTAATTAGAGCAGTTTTTTTTTTTTTTTTTTTAAATACATTTTGTGTAAGCGAAACCCTTGTGGCCGCTCGTAGATATTCTTTGATGGTCAAATCTGTGCATTTAAAAAATGGGATTCTTTGTCTTTTTGCCATTTTATCGTTAGAGTCCTTTAAATATTCTCTCTCTGGTGTCGGCAAACTGGCCAGACAGTAAATGCTTTATGCTCGTGGGCCATCAGGTCCGGACCACTATCACTTCTGTCTGACGTTTCAGTCTGCAAGAAGCCACAGATAATAAAACTTGAGTTGCACCAACAGCCGGCTGTAACTTGCCCACCTTTGTCCCAGATACAAGTCCTTGAGCAGATTCTCTTGGCAAATATTTTCTCCTACTCGGTAACTTTCTTTTTCTTTTCGTTAACGGTATCTTTCGAAGAATAAAAGTTGAAATTTTCATGAAGTCAAATTGATCGATGGTTTCTTTTATCGATTGCACTTCTTGCGTCTTATCTAAAAATGTCTCTGCCAACCCAAGATCATTAGGATTTAGTTTTGGTTTTTTTCCCACAGTTTCTTCTAGAAGTTTTATGGTTTTAGGATGTAAATTTATGTCTGTGACCCATCGGATCATATAAATTTGTTCTTAGTATTTTTGTGTATATTGTACTGTAATATTTCTATAAGGTAATATTTTTAAGACAATATTAAATTTTGTGTATGTTAGAAGGAAATGGTCAAGGTTGTCCTTCCTCCTCTTCTCCTTCTCCTCCTCCTTTTTACATATGAATATCTAATTATTTCAACACCATTTGTTGAAAAGGCTAGCTTTTCCACATTGAATTGCATTGGCATTTTTGTCAAAAATCACTTGCCCAAATATGTATTACGTATGGATCCAATATTTTTGTTTTTGCTCCAGGGCAAAATTTATTTTTAAAATAGGTAAAAAAAATTGTCATTATCAAATTTGACATACAGTGCTATATTAGTTTTAGGTGCTCAACATAGCACTATGACAATTCTGTGCATTGTGCAACACTCACTATAGTAAGTGTAGTCACCGTCTGTCCCCATACAACATTATTCAAAAACCATTGACTGTATTTCCCTGTGCTGTACGTTTATCCCCATGACTCATAGGGCAGAGTGATTTTTTTTTCCCAAAGTTTTATTTAAATTCTCGTTAGTGTACATACAGTACAATATTGGTTTCAGGAGTAGAATTCAATGATTCATCAATTACATTCAGCCCCCAGTACTCATCATAACAAGTGCCTTCCTTAATACCCAAGACCCCTCTAGCCCATCCCTGACCTGCCTCTATCAACCCTCAGTGTGTTCTCTGTCATTAAGAGTCTCTCATGGTTTGATTCCATCTCTCTTCCTTTTTCCCCTTCCCACATGTTCGTCTGTTTTGTCTCTTAAATTCCATATATGAGTGAAATCATGTGGTATTTGTCTTTCTCTGACTTCTTTTGCTTAGCACAATATACCTAGCTCTATCCCCATCATTGCAAACGGCAAGATTTCATTCTCTTTGATGGCTGAGTAATATTCTGCTGTACATATATATCTTTTTTGCTTTTATTTGTAATTTATTGTATCAAGCATTTAGGAACTGATTTTGAAGGATTTAACACAAATACAGGCTCCTTGCCAGTTTATCAATCCAGGAAATGATAGAGGTTGAAGGAATAGTGGAGCAATTCTTTTCATATATTGTGTAGTTATTACAAATATTCTTGCATAGTTCATTACTCAAGAACAATTACTGAACTCCTTCTATACTTAGACCATATACTAGTTTAACAGATACACAGAGAGAAATCGAATAATAGCTCTCTTCCTCAAAAGAATCACAGCCTGATGAGAAATTTCTAACATACACCACTGTATTTCTCCATTGGCTCTTTGACAGTTTTGCAAGCAACCACACTACCCCTGGAGAAGTGGCACTTACACATCTGACAGATTCAGTTGTATGTTTGGTTCAATTCAGATAGAGTTATCGTCGTGCTGATGGCAAACTCCTTGCTCTGTATTTGTTCCCTGAGTAATGGGATTAAAACTCTGTGCATGCTGACAACACAGTATATCGTAGTGAAGAATTCTGTGCAAGTGTATAATCCTATCTGTGGTACCCTCAGCAATAAATGATCGCTGAAATTTGTGTAGCCACTGGAAACAAAACTCTAAGACCATGTAAGTCTATTTATTTCATAACTAGCTCCATGTTTGACTCCTGGTAGGTTTGACTGGTATTTGTTTCACTTTATTTAAAACTGTTTGTAAAAAGTTTAAATATTTCAGAAGCACCCTAAAAGCATAAAAGTGCGAAAAAGTGTTATCTTCGTTGAGTTTAGAGCTTCTCATATATTGTCGGTAGACCTGTATTATATAGGAATCAATGATAACCGGAGTATGAATGTAGTGGAATGTAAGAATTCCTATTTAAAGAACCCCCCCCCCAAAAGCAGTTCATGACTTGGAGGCCTCTATCCACACTGAAGAGTTACCTAACCTCACAGTGCAGAGTCATGTTGAATAACATTCGTGCCCCCAATGTACCGATTCTATTCGTGGTGAGCTGGGAAATTAAGAGCTTGAATTAAATGATAAATTTAAATATTTTTCTTGTTTTAATTTAAATTCCATTTAGTTACTATGTAGTGTAGTATTGGTATCAGGAGTAGAATTCCTCACTTACATATAACACCCAGTGCTTATCTCAACAAGTGCCTTCCTTAATGCCTGTCAACCATTTAGTCTCTCTCTCTATATACACCAAATATTCTTTATCAATTCATCAGTCAATGGACATTTGGGCTCTTTCCATAATCTGGCTATTGTTCATAGCACTGCTATAAACATTGGGGGGCACGTGTCCCTTCGAATCAGTGTTTTTGTATCCTTTGGATAAAGACCTAGTCGTGCAATTTCAAGATCACAGGAGAATTCTATTTTTAACTTTTTGAGATACCTCCATACTGTTTTCCAGAGTGAATGCAGTGGTTTGCATTGCCACCAACAGTGCA